ACGCTCTTGGCACCTCCAGCCAGCTTTCCCGATTTGCGAGGTCGGTGCTGACATTGACGCCCTGATCGACGTCGTAGTTGATCATACGGACGTTGTGGTACCAGAAGACGTATAACGGCACCTCCGTGGATTTTTTCACCAGACAGTGAAGCTGCAGCGTGCTGCCAGGCCTCACGAATTTCTCCGGCGGGCCGGCTATCTCCGCTCTGGCTTCTGAAAATGGCCGAACGTGACACGTGAGACGTGAGCCGCTTATATAGCCCTGGATAGACGTCGGGGTATTGTTTACTACTATGGGTGTGCGGGAACCGGGAAGGAGAATAGCTCGTACGAAGGGGCGACAGAATCTCGGGCACGTAGCGCCAGGGTTTCTCAAACAGTTGCCGTAGTAAAGAGATAACATAACGAGCGATTATTTCTGAAAGTTTATCATGTTTAAAGATGAATTTTTTTTTTAAATGCTACGATAACGATAAATACCAAATAACATGCAGTTTTTTCTAGCAAAATTATTTGTGGTAGGATAATAATTAATTTCAAATTTTATATTTATACTATACTCTCTTCAAATGTATAATTTGCGAAACGTTCTTTAATAAATGTTAAAAACTATGCTTTTTAATAAATACATCCTAATAAATTGTTTTCAAAGTTTATCAAAAGATACGGATAACAATGATCTAATTTATCCACTTTTTTGGAAAGTTTAGCTACTTTAACATTCGTCTTTATACATCGTGCTGTACCAGCTTCTCAAAATTGCTATCTAAATATATGTGGACTATAATTTGACAATTATTAACGACCGAGTATGTATACAATTTATTAATAATTATAATTCGACACTTCTCTGACGAGGAAAACCCTAATGATGTTTGGTCTATGAGATTTGCGTAATAGGCAATTGATGCAATTGCCACAGCAGAGTGATTTATCGGAAATGTTGACATATACACATGATGTTTTATCCAACAATATTAAAATTATAATTAACACGCAAAATGTACATGTGTACATGTTTGTATTTGTATATAAGTAGTATTTGTATGAAAGCATCCGATATTGATAATTAACTTTTCATTTGAAGTAACAAATCCGCATGCTGCTGTTTTCATTAGTTGAATGCCAATTGCATTTATGACACTCAGATATTAAAAAATATCGATTATGATTTCAATATACAATATTTTGTTACAACGACAACAATATTAACCTTTCATTTCTATATTTAAGCTATGAAATAAGGTTAAGCAAAAAAAGTTATATTTGTTACGTATTATTAGTACAACGTTGAAAATTTCATAGATCTAAGAGAAAGCTCTTTTTACCGGACAATGTGATTCAACAAAACGTGTTTTCCATCGTGATTAATTACCTAGTAAGAGCGAATCTCTTGAGATAATTAATTTCTCGAACAATTCACCTCCTATTGAGTAAATTGTCTATTAATTAAGTATTCAATTTGACGATGTTCTGGGACAGTATGGTCCATAGGAAACTTTTTCTCTTTAGAATAGTTGTCATGTGTGATAAATATTACTATTCACGATAATCCTAATTTATATCGGCGAGAATGACAACTTAATGCTCGAGAATGACAATTACTATTATTTCTATTCAAGTCGCGTAAAATAATAGCATCAAGAGAATTATTACGAATTTCATAATTCACAGCATTACTATCCTTAATTACTTTATCAATTACTATTCATACGATATTCCCTAGAATAATTATAATTACTCTAAAATGGTAATTTACTAAAATGGATTATTAGTTCGATAAACAGTCAACAATCAATATCCGATCATTTATGTTAATCATAGAAATTAAATACATTTTACGTAAAAGCTGTTTATTTTAATTAAACTCAATAAAGCTATTTAAATGAAAATGATACATATTAATGAAAATTGCGTATGCATACCGATAATACCTTATACTATTACGGATTATCACCATGTAGTGCTAATCAATCAAGAATGAAATCAATCATGGAAAGATAATCTTCTTTTAATATCTGTTCCTGTTATTAATTGTTGTACACGCACAGAATTTTTAATAAATTTCATCATAAATTAAAGACATTTTATTCTTTCGTCTGCATCGTCTATTGATTTTTGAAATATGTAAATCAATAGCATTGAGCAGCATATGACACAGAACTCTCAAAATATTTAAATCAAACTGAAATATATCGGATTGATAAATTCACAATTTGGCTATAGTGTTTCAAAGCGATTACGAACATGTGATATGGCTTGATATTTTGACAGCTGCACATTTTGGCAAAAATTTTTCGTCTGCTACTGGTTATCTACTTTCGCGAAGCACATCGTATTAGATGTCGAGCATTACAAACGATTAATTGATTTTTAAAAACATTCGTTCCCCCGATTGTATTTTTATAAATATTATTGACACATCGCAATGTGTTAGATACACATTTTTATCAGTGATAAATATAGTTATATTATTGTGTGACAGTAGTAAGTATAAAGATAGAAAAGAAATCGCGACTCCAAAGTTTATAAAAGTATATAAAAGCATTTTTCACCTCTTTTTTCTTTTTTGTTTATAAATATCTAGCATACTATTATAATAATAATAATATTTTATATACGTTTGCACATTTAAACCGTTTAATAAAAATCCATCTATATGTCACACTTAAAAGTTATTATTTTCTATCACTTATTGCATTATTTATATTACAACTTTATGAAATTCCTTTTCGGTTTGAATGATAAGAACGATATCCTATGATACGCTCGCAGGCATCATTTATAATAAGCATCGGTTGAGTTTCATGACACGGGAGAATTTTGAAGGAGTTTCTGATCCTGACTTTGAGAAATACTGTCGAGATGACTCACGTTTTGCGGTACCTCGCGAGGAGCGAGGGCGAATTTCAAGTCCGCTCACGCCCTGGCGTGTTTCACCCTTTCACTCGACGGGACCTGACACGCTGCGCGTCGACGATGAGGGTGCAAGGGAGGAAAAGGGCATTATAGTGGATCAGGTGTGTGAGGGAGAACACTGTAAACACGCCGACCAACATTCGCGCACTCCAGCCAGTATAGATACTAGCTTTCACTACTGGCCGACCACTGACGCGGCCCCGAACGATAGTCGAGATGTGATTCGAAACGTTTGCGCGCGATCTGAGGGTATCCCCGGCTCTGGAACGAATATACGTCGATTCCTGTGGGAACTGTCGCAGTTTAAAATCGCTTGAGCGTACGTCCTTGTCCGATGCTTGCCTGAACAATTTTTTGACAGCCGTTACACAGCGTTTACGCGGGCCACCCTCGTTTTATCGCGGCGAGAGATCCCGATGTCGTTCTCGTAGAACGCGACGTTTCGATTATAAACTCGCTTCGGGTTCACGATAAATTTTCACCTCTTGTTTACAGACCTCTTGCTCTCTTGGCGATGAGAAATTCTAGTTTTTTGTGATCGGACAACAAAGCACAGAATATTTCGTCGCGATAAATATTCACTGTTTTAAATATCGCTCAACCGTATTTCTCTGTTCAAAAAATGAGATTTGGAAATAACTTAAAATTGACAAAATACAATCGCCATTCTTAGTATCTATCTATCGAGAGAGAGAGAGAGAGAGAGAGAGAGAGAGAGAGAGAGATAGGAAGAGAGAGAGGGAGAGAGAGAGGGAGGGAGGGAGAGGAAGAGGGAGAGAGGGAGAGAAAGAGAGAAGAGCCCAAGGAACAAAATATGCTCGGAGTTAGAACAAATGGACGAAGGAGTGCGCGTCTCGCTCGGCGCGTCGATTGTATTTTAATGAGAGCTCATTAAGGCCGAGTTTAAAACTATCTTCATTTCAAAGACAATATCACGATCATATTGATTCAAAAGTTATACTCCGGATTTCTTCCGATTCACTTCCTTCATTAAATTCACCTTTCCTTCTGAGACTTCTCATTCTTAGTATTCTCAATCTTTTTCATTCACATGCGCGCTGATATGTAGGTACATTTCGACAGGTTTATTTCAATTTTTTTATAAGTATGTTATATTATATCTGTATAATTAAATAAATAAGGCAGTTATGTTTAGTAATCAGAAGGATAACCCAGATATACTATATCGTTACAAAATTATTTTATTTTGTAAAATAACGGAAATAGTTCATTCAAGTTTGAAATGTCATTGTTTGAAATAAAATTAATTAAATTTAAAAAACATTTCATTAAATTCAAATAAAAATATTAATTTACGAAAGTTAGCAGAATACTACTGTAAATGTAACAGTTTTTATTTATATTTCCGTTTTTATATGTTTATGACTTTATTAAATATATTCAATTTAATCAAACAAAATAGAAATTTAAATAAAACTTACTTAATGAAAGCTGAAATAATTAGCTTTAAAAGTAAGTGAGCAAGAATCTATTATTTAAATTATAAGATTGCGTTTAAATTTCTTTAGAACTCAAATAATGAAAGCAAAAGCTCATGCTTCTGTTAATTTTGCCGAACATTCTAATATCTGATAATAGATAATTTATCAGGTTCCATTTTCTCCGAAATTTTTTGATGCGATCGAAAGGTCAACAAGGGAGGAAATACCCTAAATTCTGCAGACAAGAGCACTTACGGGGAAAAATATAAATATTAAAGACACGTAAGAAAAGACCTTAGTTACATATAGCGTGCCAAGATGCTCCAAGCAAAAACACGAACCGACATCTCGAGAAAATTACGCGGTGCTGCATACATAAAATATATACGTCAGGAATTAGAGTGCGCATTATAAACAACTCGGCATTATAAATTAACTCTAGTATAAATAAGAAAATATAATCAGAGCGCAAATGATTCATCTAATAATAAATCATCTAAAATAAATCGATCCCACAGAGATCTGATATAATGAGAGATTTACTTAGATATTATACATATGAAATAGTATATATGTAACATAGTTTGTTGTTTCCTATGTTTAACAATTTTTAATTATTATTTATTTATTGATTTATAAATAATCTTATTGATAAATAGAGGATAAATTAATTAGATCAATTAACTGACAAAAGAATTAAATAATATGTATAAAGATAGATATTTGATATTGTAATATATAAATTGTCAAGTTATACCTGCACGTCGTCTTTTTTTTACTTTAAATATTTACATTACGCATTCATATCAAAGTAATATAGGATCAGTCCGATTAATATGGAACTTGATCCGTCGTATTCAATTCCTTAAATTGTTTTTACCCTCGTCTTTTGGGATGTCAAGGCTAGAAGAAGCGTGTGTGGGCAGAGGGATCTATCGAAAGCATTTCAGACGATGGTACATAAATATAAAAGAAACAGCGAGAAAAACTTATATGTGAATGTAATTCAGGTAAAAAATAGCGAGTAGCAAAAATAAAAATTCGAAAAAATAATATAGATAAGATTATAGTATTTACTAAATGATTATAAAATATTTTTTACGAAAGAATATCCAAATAATTAAAGCATATATTTGTATTATATAAATATAAAAAGCTGTGAAAATTGATATTAATTATAAACCAGTAAAATGCGTAACAGATATTCTTGAAAAATGATATTAACCACGCTATGTTCCTGTTATAATTTTTTACGTCGCAAAAAGAGATATAGAACGGTCCTACATAAAAATATATGTAATTTATAAAAAGTTTTATAAAATTCTTTCTCTAAAAAAGAAAAAACTAAAGAGATATTTTCTAAGATATCATTATTGTAATAAAAATATTAAAAATATTTGATAAAATTTTTTTGTTCGCAAGAAAGATGTAACAATCTCAAACAGGATATTGATCTATAACAAATTTCGCCCACGTAGACATGATCATGTTTCGCTGTTTAATTTAGTTGTTGCGCTTATTTTGTCTTTATACACACATCACATATCTGTCAGCATAAAACGAGTATTAATGTTGATGTAGAAAATTTTTTTTAAGAGAGATACTTGAATTTAGATAAATATATATTTCTCTATTTTATTTCTCTTAAAAATTCTCTCTGTTATTCTGGATTATTTTCCATTTGTTCCACAATATATAACAAAATATAAACATCAATAACTCAATAATATATATGTGTAACTCAATACATATTTTCTATATAATACAAACATTTGCGATACTTCAATCTCTACCATATATATTTTGAAATATGTAAAAAATATCAGAAATAATTTCTCTATTAATTGTCAAAAAACGCGATCGATCATAAATTAATTTGCGTGCTAGCAGTATTTTATTCGGAAGTTATCGCTTGGAAGAAATACCTAAAATCATATGCAAGAGCGCGATCGAAAGTGCTAAAGCTCAAAAGGCTGGGTAAATGGCCGAAGCTCAACAGCGCGTGTTGCGAGGGCATAAATATCAAAAGCATCCTTAGGAAAAGAGTGGTGAAACCGCGTAGAGTACGGACGTCGAGAAAAGGGCACCGAAATCCCGAGGAAATTAGATAGCCTCGCGCATAAGAGATACGCGCCGGAAAAAGCCGAATCTAAATGCAAATATGCGGCTGGCTGACGCGCGTGCATCGAGAGCTCGGCGTCGCGTCGAGAGCGTATTTCGTGAAATTCCCGCGACACAACAACGGAAAAGTATATTCACTCTATCGATCTCCCCCCTTTACGCGTCTGTCGCTTAATAAAATCTAAATAAAAATGTCTATCGTCAGGTAACCGCTTGCGCGATTCTCATCCAGGAGGGTAAAGCCGAGCAAAAACACTTAAAAATCGTCCTGTCCTTCCTTTCTCTCCTCCTCTGACCAAGAATACAAGTAGACAAGTTACGCGAGGAATACCTAGATAATGTTGCAGAAGCGCACAAATTGTTGAGACGGTTAAATAGGTATTACAAGCGACGGGAAAAAGGGAGCTTACTTTCATAGATGCGCCCTTATCAGCATACGGACAAAAGCATTGCAGCATTCTTTGCGTACGATGCTCTTCACGACCCTCTTTTTATAGGAAGGTTAACGATAAGATATACGGTATGTGACCGCATACGGGAAAGTTGGCGCGTTTTTCTCATACATTCGCGCGCGAATTGTGCGCCCGCCGCGTCGTATATATATGCATGTATTCTGTATAAAGTGTGAGTTGAATATAATATATAAGAAGACGTGATGAGATGTGAAGAAAACGCCAAGATGTTAGTGTCAACGAGTTTTTTTTTTTTTTTTTGCTGGAAAAGATGATTTATCATTATTCAATTATATGTAATACAGCTTTCCTCGTTTTCATGACAAACGTCTAAAATGTTAAAAATTCTAAAGGAAAACACAATTTATGAACTAAATATTGTTATTGTAAATTTTATAGAGAATAATATAATAAGCGAGTATTACACATAAATCACTCATGTATGTAATAAAAAATTATAATTGAGTGTAAATATAATTGCTGATTAATTTCACGATGAAATTTTGCGCTTACCGACGACGTCAAGCAAGAGAAATATGCTCGTGGGTGGATGAGTGGACACTTGGCACTCATATAGTCCGGCATCCCTCGGTTGGACGTATTTTATTTGAAGAGTCCAATCCTCGCTGTGGTGGAAATGAATTGCCTGAAACCGCTCGTCGTTGGCGTATGTCGTCAGTCCTACGGTCAGTAACTCCTGTACGTTCTTCCGCTTGAGCCACGACACCTGCGAGTCACAGAAAAAAGATTTCTTAGTAAAGATAATCTGATAGTCGTGAATAGTATTCCGATTCAAGAAATCAGAAAAAGGTTTGTTTTTAACGACAGATCTTGCTTTGTATCTGTGCCTTGTAATTTCTAGACGATAGTCAGGCAAAATATTTTATTTCCTTACTACAAAATTGAATTGTAATAATATGCGTAAATTGTGTAATGATCTTTGTCTTTGTAAACTCAATATTTATTTAGAGTTTTTTACATCAATAACATCGTATAACAATATTATATGTAATAAATGCAAACGAAAAAAAAATTGTTAAATTCGAAGTTACACAAATTTTTTGTTATACAAAATTAAATTTTCCCATAATTTTAAGATTGAAAAGTGATAAATTTAAAAAATTCCAGAATCATACGTATATGTAAAAATCATATTCGATTCATATATGCGCATCGTTAAAAAATTGTTTCCAAATTGCTTGAAAATGTTCTCACTTTTAATGCAATGAGAATGAAATAGAGAATTTATATATTTATATCATAACAAAATTTTATATATAAATATAAGTAATATAACT